GGGGTCGTTGTCCGAGGAACAAGTGGTGGACATGGCGACGAGGGTTGGAGCATCGACGCCATTTAGCATGGCAAATGCTATCGGAGGTGAGGGATATCTCAATGGACTCATGAAGGGGGGAGAGAGGAGGGGGTAGGGGGCAAGGGAGAGAGGTTGTGATAGAGAAAGAGGGCACCCATCTTATTTTTTGCAATACTATAATCACTTGACCCACGAATCGATAGCGGTGTATCGTTACCACGACAGCAGATTGACGACAAAAATATGTTTGCGTTGTTGCAATACCGAAGCTAGCGGTGCGGATCGACCGTTGTCGGTGATCTTCAGCTCCGGCTATCGGAACGGTGATAGTACGTTGCTTGCACCATGAGACTATTTCCATAGGACCAATCATATAATGCCTCCCTGCACCGCGTGGTTCTGTATTTTTTTTCTGCTCACTTTCCAGAACTACCTTCTACCTGTAGCGATATTCTAAGGTACTGATCAGAGCCCCTACTTTTTATTTTATGGTGAAAACTACCACTTAACAAACTGCGAAGCCACGCACCAACCCCTCGCACCGCCAACGCCACCCTCCCCCCCCCTGCCCAATCCCTTCCCCCATGTCCATCGGGTGTGCTGACCAAATAACGATACAGGGGCTAAATATTCCAACAATCCGCAGGCCCGACGAAGTGGCTCCAAGATCACAGCTCCGACGCCGTCACCGACGAGCCATTTTACACCGTGCATGCCCACGGAGTGGATCTGCTTGTGTCAATACACCAAGGGGTGAGGCAACGGGACTTGGAGGGTGGGGCAGAGGGGGTTATCAACTACTTCGTGAGCGAGTTGGATTTGAGGTGGCGGATGGGAGCGGATCTGCTCCTGGTGTGCTACGACCGTGCTCCACTTGTCCCCGCAATCAAAGGACGCGAGCAGTCGGGAAGGACGGACAAGATCGGGGGATACCCTCTCTCGTTCGACCCGACATCGACGGACGCCATCCCCCCGTCGCAATACCAGTCATGGCTTCGTGACAGCCAGAAGGCAGCGCGAGATGGTATCGCCGCGCACCTCGCCGTGGACATATTCGACGACAAGAGGTGGACTGGAGACTGCACTCCCAACGGAGTCGTGGCCTTTTACGGTGTCGGTGGTGAGGCTGGTTTGAGAACATCTGATGCCGCTAACCCCGCGGTCAGCTCCGGGGGGGGCGTACAGGGAGGACCGGCCACGTCACCAGAGATACCGGCGCCGGTCGGCAGCGTCGAAAACAGCACCGTGCGCTCTGGCGGGGACGGGACCGAGGAGGGTGGAGTGCCAACGGTTGCGAAAGAGGACCCTCTTCTTCACTACCGAAGGGGCGCGGACCGTTCGGTACAACGAGAACGTGGCCTCAACATCGGCGAGGCCGAGCTGTCTCTCGTCCACTTCATCGTGTGGGCCAAAAAGTACTGGGGACGGAATTCCGAAAACTGGCTGGTTACTTCGGTGGACACGGACCAATGGATGATCATTTTGCTGGCGATGAGGACGGGTTTCCTGAAGGCCAGTGGAGAGGGGGCGGTTGAAGTGACTGTGCAGATGGTTGTGGGTGGTGACCCGAAGTACATATGGGTAAACAGGGTGTTCGCCTCCATCAGCGGCCTTAGGGACAGCGACGAATCTGTATGGCCCACGACGGACTCCGGTTTTCAGGGTTGAATTCCCGACGACGATGAGAAGGTAAGCCTTTTTGTCCTTGTCTACCTGCTTGCTGGTTGCGACTTCCTGCCTGCCATGACGGGTCTACCTTTCGGGACCATGTGGGCTCTTGCTCTGAAGAGCGTGCGGACGGAGGGTGTGTTTCGGACGTCTATCTTCGTGCGTAAGGGTGGTATCTGGGGCGTCAAGATCGACGAGTGCATCAAGTTGTTGGTGACCATGTTCTATTTTAAGTATGAAGCTGTATTTGCTCGTGGTGGACAGGAGCCCGGCTGGATTCTCCGTATGGTCGACGGCGATGTCGCACATTACGTCGACGTCATGCGGTTGCGTATCCTCAGGCGTGGTTCAAAGAGGGCTACGTCAACGTGCCCTGCGTTCGAGTCCATGCGCCAGCAGAGCGAGCGAGGCCGTCAGGTGCTTGGTACTGGCAAGACGGCTGTTTAGAGGTGGTACCAGTACGAGACTTCAACGGCAAGGGATGGGGGATCGACCCGAAAGGGGGGGGGACCAGCCCGGGGCTTATGACAGCGGAAAACTGCGTGCTATGGCCGTCTGAGTATTCCTACGTTGGCATCGACAACAAGACGCAAACGGAGAAATGTGGGTGCGAACCGGCCCCGGGTAAGAAGAGTCTCTGCGTGAGGTGCGGCTGTCGTAAAGCGGGAAGGAAATGCTCGCTGGCATGCGTGTGCAGGGCTACCTGTGAACTGATTCGAGCATCGGAACCTGAGGCTCGGATCGCTGCTGCTACATCTAGCGTTCCTGCTGCGTCCACTGTTCCTGCTACACGTTCCGTTCCTGCGACATCTTCCGTACCTGCTACAGCTTCCGTTCCTGCAACATCTGCCATCGTAGCCGGAGCCCTGTGTTCTCTTTTGGCGGCAAGAGCCGCGAGTCAGCAGGCGGCCGCACAGGCAGCCGTTAGTCAGCAGGCAGCTGCGCCGGATGATTCGAGAGGGACCGAAGCGAAGGAGAAGGGGGGGGAAGAGGAGGAGGAGGAGGAGAAGGAAAACGAAGCGCGGGATGAAATTCCCGAGTGGGAGTCCGATGCGTCCGACTACAGCGATGCCTTCAGCGACTGGGGATCAGACATGTCGGATGGCGGGCCGTATGTAGGGTGGGGGGACGCGGAGGGAGTCGAAGGCCCATGGGGGACGACGGGAGCTGACTGGTTCTGGGGGTTCAACGGCCATCTTGAGGTGTGTATCTGGTTCCGTGCGTATTTACCAACTTCTCGACCATAACCTGGGGGTGGGGCATGGACTGGGGAGTTTGTAGTCCGATTGAATTATGTTAGCACGCACTACGGTGCTTGGAACGCCGACCTAGATCCCACCCAGGTGACCTTAGTCCACACAAATCAACCCCCCTGTTTACCGCGTGCACTTTCCGTTGTTTGCCTTTGCCGCTTTTGCTTGCATGTGACGAAATGGTGGCAGTGACGACGACAGGTTCCTCCGTGCGAAATAGCTCATGGTGGAGAAGAAGGAGACCTTGGAGTGTAGGGTGTGAGGAGAGGGTGTGCTCGTGTGGGGTGGGTGGGAACCGCACGAGCTGGATAGATAGGTGGCATCTCCACCATTAGCCCTCTTTGCTGCGATCCTTGCCTTTGTTTCATTCGTTAAAGTTCGGCTCATCTGGGCGCCTGTGGTGTACAAGTGTGTGTGTGCAGTTCTTTCGTGTGGTCCCTGTGGTCAAGAACCTGCTGTATTTTTTGGAGGGAGGACCGCTGCCTACAGTAGGTCGACCTTTTTACCAGCGTGTGAAGTGCTGGAGCTAGTTTAGTATGTTTTTTGTTGTCAGTTTTGGCGCCGCCGACTGATATTCATAGTGATTTGACCGTATATACCATCGGGCTGACGTTAGGAGCAGTCTTGCTTGTATGATTGGTTTAATATTGCTCGACCCAAGGCGAATAAAGCGTTGGACAAAAAACGGCCTTTCTTCTACGGCAACGTCGTACGTGTGCTTGATCGGAGGTGGAAGTCTCGTTCCACCCTATCCCTTTCACACGTACGTAATGCTCTCCATCGACAGCACGGGACCTCGCCCTGCCACATTTTTATGCGAAAAAATGCGTGCGCCCTGTGGGCGATATGCCCACAACTAACATTGGAAGTACTTCGTTCTTTTCAGGGAAAATAAGTGATCACGAACGGGTTCCTTTGTCCCCAGGGATCAGAAATCACCTTTCCCTAGTTTTTTTTTTATCTCTTTCTCAAACCAGAACGCGGTAAAAAAAAATAATGATCGCGACAGAGGCGTGATGAACAGGCTCTCTTATTGATTATCCCGCAGTTTCGCGGTGCAACACCACCGAACAGCAGTTGGGTTCCAGTTCAAAAGGGTGCGCGCCGAGCACGCGTACTCAACCTATTCAGCATAATACAACCTAATTCAACGTGCCATGCGTCCGCAAAAGAGGCAGCTACAAGATGCGAGACATCCTGAGGTAAACAGACTTGAGACACCTACAGCGTAAATGTGCCAATTAAGGACCACCAAAGCCCCCCCCCACTCAGGCAGCTCGTTCTCTGGCGTAACGATGATTTATGAAGAGGTTGGGGTATCGGATCATAGCTTAGAGCACACCCTACCAGCCCAAAAAGTGTTTTTTGAGAAAAAGTCAAGTGACGATGAACTATAGCCCTCGAAATATACCTCATTTTCCAGAAAAAAATGCGGGAAAAATGACGGTGCCCCTGTTAGGGACCACTTTCGGGTAGTGGCCGATTCCGCAGGTTC